GCAGTGGTAAGAAAGCCATCTCGAGAAAGTGTACCTCACTGTCAATTCTGCAATAAGGAGACTTAATTCTGAATCACCAGTGTAGCAGTAACAGGTCAGATTAAAAAAAAAAAGTGCATACCTCTCTATTTTGAGAATTTCTCCCATTTTTTTCTTTAAAAATGTATAACTACTTGTTTCAAGTTAGTTAAAATGGCCAAAACAACTGTTTTCGAAGAAAGCACCAAAAGCTTTCAACTACAAAGATAAGCCAATGTAAGCAAGTACCTGTCTACTACAGTATCAGCCTGTAAAACATCCCCACAGACAATGTGGGGATAAAATTCACCAGGGAATTCCAACAGCAGTCTGTCTATCAAACAGAGTCTCCCCAGTAGCGCTTGCCAGTTGCTTGATTCAGTTTGGGTTCCAAGAATACAGTTTAGGATACAATCAACACCACCAATACCGATGGACCCTATTAAAACAAAACAAGGAGTTATTATAAATACATTTAAGCTTTATCCAATCTAAATTCAATGAAGATCAGAACCATATCATATAAAAATACAGGTGTGCCCAAATTAACTCCCCCCTCCCACACACTCACCGCCCACCAAACTCCAAAGGACACTGTTCTTTATGCCATTTTGATTTCTGGTAAGTTAGGTCCGTATTAAATTTTAGACACTTCATTCTATTTGTTTGTACATATATAATGTTTTATATATATAAAATATATACATTAAGAGCTATTATTACCAGATTTAAGTATTTCTCTTCCAACTGCCAGCTCTCCTGCTTGGCCTTTACACATCTCCAGTAGCGTTGAGACCGAGAGTTGACTTGTTCGACTATAAGAAATTAAAACCAACAGTAAGTCTTAGCAGATGCTTCTCAAGAAAATCATTCTACTCATTACACTTCAATAATCATTAGCAATAGCTTGACACTCTGCTTGGAAATTGGTTTCACATCACTTGACCAATACACTTATATAATCCTATAAGATATTGATCTTTATGATATTTTTATAGGACACTTCCAGAAGCTTAAGTGCATCATCAATAAGAAAATAAATGAAAAACAAATAGAAATCCATTTCTTGTAGTTCTTTCCCCACACCCACATTTGCCAATTTCTTTGAAACTTCCAGGGAATAATCTATTAACAGCAATTCAATTACTTGTTAGGACCTTAGGACTTGTTAGGACATCACTTAGATATCTAACTCGCTTATTCATTTAATTTTAGTTATTCTATCACTAGACAGGAGAGAGGAGAAAAAAAAAAACAAAAACCAAAAAACAAACACCACACACACACACGCCTGGCTGTAGTTTCAAACTCAGTGATTCTAACTAATGCTGCTTAGGAACTAAAATGAAAGAGACAAAATCCAGCTGAATCACTTCTGCAGCAAGAGTCGTGTCGTTCCTCCCCCCCCCCGAAAAAAAAATGTTTTTGTTTGGGGGGGGAAAAATGGAAAAAAGGCCTTTGAAAGGAGGACATCATTTAAGATCTGCAGGTACTAGAAAGAAATAGAATCAGATTCCTTCAAAACAACAGGAATTAGACCTTGAGACAAAAGCTGGTTGGCAGCAGCTAGGCTTTAGTCAAAACATACTATGATTTATTTATAGCCATGGCCCATACACCACTATTTGGTTTATTAGCTCTATATAAAATAGCGGCAAAGGAAGTTTCAAGACACTTCAACAACCTAAAATGGGTTTGAAGTTAATGAGTTAATGAAATACCTGTTGGCATCTGCACATTTAACTAATATTGTCTCTACAACTGGCTTGAGAAGTCGCTGTAGTTTAGTTCTCTCTGCCAACGTATGACAAGGAGTATATACCAGCATGGCTCTTAAGGTTTTCTAAGAGAAAGGAGAAAAACAATAGATATTAAATTAGCTATGCCAACATTTTTAGAGAGTTTCAAAAGGGGTTCATGCAAGTTCAGTCATGCCAATCTGCTTTTCCTGAGGATCTTATTCACCTTTTTCAGATGATGGTTACAAGTTAAAACCCATTCAGCAGCAATCAAAAACAACCGCTAGGATTCTTTTCTTTATATGTCTCCTCCTTTTCTTTCCCAAACCCTAGTCATTTGGAAATTACTAGAGTACAACAAATAAGCAACTACTTACTAAAGCAGCAACATACACTTTGTAGACAGGGTCGGCACAGACCATGGACAGCACACTGCAGCAGGACTCCACGACAACATCTCCTGAGATACTGGTCTGAGATGACCCACTAGCTGCTCCTAGAGCTCCAGCACTTGTGTTGTTCCTACTGCTGCTTCCAGAATTTCCAGTGCTTTCACCATTAGCCAGTAATAGAGCACCACTAACATCATGCGAAAGACGTCGCAGTGCCATCTCCCGTATGTTCCAGTTTCGAGAAAACAAGCAGCCAACCAACTCCATTCCAAATACCTGCAAAGAGAAAAAGTAACACTGCAGGAGTCAAACCAAACACTGTAGGAGTCAAACCAAACACTGCAACTTAAGTACTTGAAACAAGCAGCCAAAAAGAACAAAGAAATGCTTCAGGTGAGGGGGAGAAAAAAAAAAGTCTTATGAAGTCTGACAGCAAAAGCATGACAGTGGATACACTATATTTTAAAAATATCTTGGATGGAAATGAAGCATCCTATACGATCATGCATCAGTACTCCAAATACTCTGCTAAACAGATGTCAGGGAAGGAGGACTGTACAGGCACTCACTAGGGGTAGAGCTATGATGTGATTCAGAGTAAGTTTTTCAATTGTTACAAGTACTCTGAACTGGTGCCAGAGTTAAACATTCATACATTAGATGTCTCTCATGGCTCTACCTCAAGCTGTCCAATTTTTCATTTTGTTTCTCATCTCTGAACAAACACAGAAGACCACCCCATTATAATATTTTTTGTTTCACTAAGTGGAATTGGAGAACACACACAACCTTCTTCAGAGGGAATTAGTAGCATTAAGAAACTCATTCTTTTCTCTACACATACCAAAAGACGCTCAAGCTCCTGTGGGTGGTTTGCATTTTTTTCTGTTTAAGTGAAGCCAAACTGGAGATGTTAAACAAAACAGAACTCTTCTCATTCCAAACTTTTCCATAAGAAAGCTCCTCTAATGACCAAGAGCAGTGACAGGAAGATATAATGATTTTCAGTGTGTTTCATTGCAGGCCATTAGGCACAATGATCACAGCCTCTCCTGAAGATACATGTAGTTTTCACGTAGGAGCTGCAGGGATTGACTTACAATTCACCGAGTGACAAAATCAGATAAAACAGTTCAAAATCAGCTTTTACACTTGAAATTTTTACAACATAAAATTACCTGAATCCATGGCTCAGCTAAGTCTCTATAGGCAGAAGGGATCTGCTGGACCCCGTAATGAATAAGGTTAAAATTACTATCTTGGGTTCTTCTTTGTGATACAGCCCTAGATTGCTGTTGAGTTTGTTGCTGCACCATACGAAGAACAGAAGAATCCACAGGACTTGGCAATTCATGACTATAAAGTTAACAATAAATAACATGAATTAACAAGAGAAACATTTGGTGAAGGAAATACTTCAGAGTATTTAGGAATGTAAGCTAAACATTCAGAAACAACAACTCACTACATTCAGTAAAACTAAGTGCTTACCTATAGAAATCCTGTGATCTCCATTTAGATCTACAAAGAGGACATATAAGTAGCTCTCTGTTTCTCCTACATTCTTCTGCCCCTGAAATATAGCAAAAAGAAAATTGGTACTTTATGTTTACAGCATATCAAGCTAGAAGATGAGGTTATGATGTTAAAAATCATTAACTGGAACAATACAGGTCTTTTTATACCTCAAAGATACCCCCCCCTCCCAAAAAAAAGAATTAGAATATTGAGGATGGATTTCTATTTATTAAAGCAGACTGTGACTATTTATGTAAGGTAGTACATAAGCATATTCCATAGTTACTTAGATAACCCACGCTAGTAGTAGAGGGCTTTCAAGTCATTTAGTGAGAAGTGAGAGAGGGGTAAATGTCTGCTGCTAATCTCGCTCTAGTTGAAATTAATCTTCTCTCTCAGGTGGCACAGGATCAAACCTCTAGCCTTACAATTAACTTTTTTCTCCCCCATAGAGCATCATATGGCAAACTTGATTCACAAACAACTGATAAACCAAGAACTAACAATACCTAAACAATGCCAAAGTTTAAGAGCTTTGTTCTCCACTTAAGAATTTTTTAAAGTATTAAATCTTAGTGATTTGAGTATATACAGGTACCAGAATTGAGACAAAGATGACAACATACATATTGACATGCAATGGTGGTGTAACTTATTCCTGCAGCCATCTTCACACACAGTTAGGCTCTCTTCATCCAGCATCCCTAACAAACAAATGGGGCACATCTGTTCTTCTTCATCCTTCATACTATAAAAAACAGATATTTGCAATCGTAAAAATGGTGTATCAGAATTCTGAAAACCTTCAATAAAATGATCAGCCTCCAATTTGAAACAACCACCAGATCTCCAAGTAAGCAAGCAACCAAAATTGTAGAAGCATCAAGTACAGACACTACACTCTTGAAATGAAAGGAAAAATAATAAAAAATAAAAATAAATAATAAAAAACAACAACACACACACGCGTCTTCAAACTACGTCATATACAAATTAGGGATTGAAAAGCCTAGCCTTAGGCACTTGCATTTTCCTCCTTAAGGCTTCTTTAAATAAACCAACCTTTACTTTTTTACTAATAGGTTTGTTTTGAAAAGTTAAGAACACTATTTTTTAAATTTTAAACTAAAAAAAGTTTTAATTGATGAGGGTCTGAAATTAAAAATTAATAGAGAATAACAGCCACCCTCATTTTTCTACCATACACAGAAACAGATTCATACAAACAAATAACACATCCCATGTAGATTAAAACATTCAGCTCAGTCTTAGATGTTTCAATTTTATTTATCCCCACTATATAATTAATAATAGATATAATCAGAGATTTCATCAGAAAAAATATTCAAAATCTTAAAGGTTAAGTGAAAAGAAATAAACTTAAGTCTTTTGCACTCTATTTAAATGTGAATATCTTAGTATTATTCATAAAAGAGTTAGAACTTGTATGTGTCTAAAATAGCTGGTTATATATAGCTTGCAAAAGCCATATATTGGTTAAGAAATGTATAAAATAGTAATCTTAAAAATAACAATATATCTTGAAAAAAACCACAAGGAGTTTACAATGAAAAATTCAGTTCCACGGTATAAAAACACATTTTCTATTTTTTATTTTTTGCAGAATTAGCAGCAAACCAAAAAAATGCAAGTCAGTGATTAACAGAATTGACTAAGATTATCCCAAGTACTTATGTTCTCTATAACTTATGTCACACAGAATTAGATTGCTGTACTGTGTCAGTATCTCATTGAACCATCAGCTGTACTAGCAAAGAACTTAAAAACCTCTATTCCTGATGCAGTGAAATCCATAACCCCATTAAGTTATCCCTATGTGGAAAAAAAAAATCTTCCTGGACAAGATATCTAAATAGAAGGAACTGGTATTTCAGAACACATCTCGTATTTCACCAGTTGGTTTGTATAATTTACAGTGACGTGATTTGACATTTGGAAAAATAAGTACAAGGCAGTGGGAAGTTAAGGTCACAATCTGAACATCAGAGTTACAAACCTGTCTAAACATATTGGTCTACATACTGATCCAGTGACAGGGCTACTGTCAAAGTAACACACCAAGGTGGTACTTTCTTTCACTAAAGAAAGCCTCTGTTTTAGGTGTCTTCTCTCAGAAGGCCTCTGTATAGCTAGTTCATTCATCCCAGTAACAAGTCAACAGACAAAACACTAAAGCAAATCTTTGCAAAAATCAGGAAAAAGAACACAAGCAAAAGCACTCAAGTAATAAGAGTTTGGAAAAGCCCAAAGAATCAGTTAAATTTAGAAATAGGGCATCTTTTAATATGTTATAAAAATCATCATAATGTAATAACTTCCTTAAAACAGTTTAATCATCCATTCTACATGGAGGGCAAATACTTCTATTTTTTATTTTTTAAAACCACACACAGAGTATGTTTACCTGGAAATTTTTCAATATATTGTCACAGGCACAAAGATTTCTCCATAGTAGAGCTTGCTTTCAAATGTTATTAGGGCAAGAGAAAAAATATCTTATGTTTTCATTTGTTAACATTTGCATGCATGCTGTATTTGAACAAATGCATACAAATACATAGGTTTCCAAAGTTAATAGATGTTCCAGGCTTGAAGAGGATTGCTTAGACTTCTAAAGTTTCCCAATTCCACAATGCATCCAAAGAATTATTCCCCCTCCCCCCCCCCCCTTCTCTCCTTCATTGAGACATAAGGTATAAATTGAATATGTCCACCTGGCACCAGGATGATTAATGTATACTTGACTTTTGATTGTCGATAAATACAGAGCTTTAACATGAGTTGAAATGAAAGCAGCTTTGAAACAAAAAGAATTGTGTAGGTGATTCTAAACCTCCAAAATCAGAAAAAATAATGCAGAATAATTTCTTTAGAAGAATACTAACCTGTTTTCTGAACTAGATGTGGAAGTACTAGATGATGACAATGTATGAGAGTTTGACATGCGTGAGACAAACTTCTGGATGGTGTTACGAGATGGAGCTTTGATCCTTGAGCTACGCCTACTGTGATATTTCCGGAACAAACTCTCAACCTGATATCAGAAAAAACCAGCAACAGTCATATTTATGCTATGAATATCTTGTATGTAAAGGTAATGATACAGAAGCTTAAACTACTGCTTAAAAACAAAATTTCATCTTCTCAATAATACATTAGCTGCAACAGCAGTAGCAGGAATTTCCAAAACCTCACTACTAAATAGGCTGCAAGGAACATAGCAATTAACAGCTTTTTTGTTTTAAACAAATAGCTTGACATACACACCAATACTTATGAACACCCTTATTCTGTTTACCTTCCAACTATCAATGTTACAGATACACTAACCTGAGACAAAAATCCCACAAGATTCATATTATTCACTAAACTAAAGCTTCACAAGTTTTAGTTATTTCTTTTATTTGCAGATTTTTTTCTATTTACAGAGCTCTTAAGAATGAGTTAACAATATAATTAAAAGCATACATGCGTGTTGCTATGATAAGCAACAAAGTGTTCCATTTTAAAACAACATCCTAAAGACTTTTACCCAGATTTTATTTTAGATCTGTTATGAAGTCTATTAGACATATACTACCTCGAAGTTCTTCAGAGTCTTTCTCCACAGTATCGGGTCAGAGGGCTCCAGCTGGAATACTCGCAGCATAACAAACAGCAGATGGATACAAAATGTTCCACGCCCACAGCTACATGTCTGAAAAGAAAAGCATCATATGTTAGTATATGTTAGTATCATATGTCAGGGTCATGTTGTCTTGGTAGTCACACATTTAAATGCATAACAGATAGGTACACAATGCCAATTTCTGAAAAAAAAAAAAAAAAAAAAAAAAAAAAAAAAAAAAGCTGTATTTTGAATCAGTTGGGACTCATTGTGGAAAAGGTCTTTAAAACGTATTGTAATAGTAGAATATAAAGAGAATATATTCAGCAATTTTGGCAGCACTTTCATGTTTAATTATTTTAGAAGTACTTGCTGTTATTAATACTGAAAAGAATTTATACATGTAATCAGACAGCTGTAAACATGACGGCAATTAAATTTAAATGAGCTGCTTTATTTATAGAAAAAACTTAGGTGTTCCCAAAAGTAGCATCACAGAGTACTGAAAATATCTATCTGGACCACATTATGGGTATTAATGACATTATCGCACCTTTTAAGGGAAGTGATGTGTTTGTTACACATATATAGATAAGTCCATGAGTAGAGGAAATACTTTTTCACTCCAAGATGTGAAAATTTAAGACAATCAAAGCGCCAAATTTCAGCCAAAATATAATTATATATATAATACATAAAGTTATATATAATTAGGATCCATCGATAGGAATGAGAAGTACACAGAATAAGCTAAATATTAGTAACAACTTCCCACTGCATGTGCATACATTACATCTCTTAAATGTTTCCAGTTAACATGGGTTTGTGACTCTCACTTCATCCATCTATTCTGGTTTTGTACAGTTTTTCAAGACTAGCTATGTATTACTAAAAGCTGCCTATAACAAAAACATTCTCACCTGAGGCCCAATAAACACCCTGTACTTGTTATCAGGGCTGTCTCCTCCGATTAAGAAGGAGTTGGGTCCTATCTGCTGCAGCAGGTACAGCCTGGCTCTCATAACTTTGTTGACACGGCGATTCGTTTCCTCAGGGCTATATGGAGAGAAGCCATCTGGAGAGGGAGCTCTTCGAGGCGGTGTTATTCGGCCACTCTGCAACTACAAAAGTGGTTCCATCAAATGTTGTCGGGGCAGTGAATTTGGCTATTTCACTCTTATTGACAAAGATATAGATAGTTCCCAAAACCTGAAGAAACTACAACCTGCTTAGACTATGAATTTAAAAGAATTAACCTCCTTCCATGTGCAAAAGCAGCAGACAGAAGAAAAACTGTTTTTTTTTTTTCTTTTTTTATAAGAAGCTGGTTGACATTACAACAGAAAAGGAGTCTCTTAAATCGCTTCTATTTGCAAGTCTTCACTGGTAGCCTTACTGTTTTACTGAATTAACAGGTACAATTCAACCAGAAGGTCATTATAATGATTAGCAACAGAGGAAGTTATTATATAAGACAGGATTTCTTTATCTGTGAAATATATTAGCATTATACCCTTATGACTAGAGTTTATATCAGGGGACATATGGTCAATGAACTGCAGAGTAAGAAATTCCAAAGTGAAGGAAAAAGGATACCTCTTCCTCTCCTTTTCACAATGAAAACAACCTTCAGCTCAGGATGCTGTCTTTGATTATGGTAAATAAATTGCCACCACCAAATGAACCAATCCTTTTATTAAAGTTTTCTTCAATGCCTTGCATGAGTTCTAACATAAGTTAATGATTCTGCCTGATTTCAGGTTTTCTGCTTTGACTGACATCTACTTTGATTTTTAGATCATGTCACAAAGTTGCAGTTGAGTCACTGCCCATCACTTAATTACACAACAGACTTCACTTTTTCACATGAACAGTTAATATAAAACTAAAAGAAAGAGAACATCAACTGAGCAAAGTCAGAGTTAAATGGTTTGGTAATGTTTTCTTTAAATTTGAATTTCTCTTATCAAGAGGTATGGAGCTGTACTACGAGCGATACCTTCTATTTTGCCCCCAGCTCAGCAGAACGGCAGTAGAATGTTTTACTTCATTTTGGAAACTGAGTCCAGTGGGAGCAATGGGACAGTAAAAGCAATGAGATCCTATTCTTACAGCTTCACAGTGAAATTGTAGTAAATGAGTCACCTGAAGAATAACTGTGGATGAATGTTTTAATAAAAATAATCTACTGCTCAACTCTTCCATTCTTGATCTTCTCTAGTGAAGCCATTTAAAAATATTCCGGTCTTGATCTTCTTGAACACAATGATTTTAGAAAGCACCGTAAGGATGCATATACCTAAAGCTTCCCTAATACATACATAAAGAGCAGCCCTGGAGCAGAGAATCACAAAGAGCATACTAGTAACTCCTTTTTGCAGGAATCTTTGTTCAGTATCAACAGGCCTGTCCCCCTAGGGAACATATCTGCCAGGAAAACTGACATTCAAGACTTAGAGAAAAACAAACTTCTGGCATCTCTTTATGCAATCAAGCTAACAGAACACAGGTATCTCCAAAACTGGGTATCTAGTAGCAAAAATAATAATTACACCATAGTTCGTGACTTACAGGCACTGGAGATATCCTTTTTCTTCTGACTCCTGGCGATTCAGATTTAACAGTCCTCGAGGACGACGAAGAGGCGCTACTGGGAGAAGGGCTACGTCTCCCCTTATGCGTGGGTGAAGAAGCCGTGCTCTGTCCTTCAGCCTGAGATTCTAGAGACAGTTTGCTCATTTCAGATGCATCTGCTTTCACAGGGATAGGTTTCACCACCTTGCAGGAATTCAACCATGTGTGTTAGTTTCAAAGATAATTGTTGTATGTGAAAACAAAACAAATTAATTGGAACTTGTGTTAGTAGCATTATACAATTAATTCATTACTTACACATATGGAGTCTGCAAATTCCTTTGATTTTAGTATTAATGTCTGGCAGGCATTAACTCTACAGAAATTTTTTCACGATTTAGAGGTTTGACTCAAAGTTAGAAGAAAGCTTCAAGCAATGCAGCCGTAGACCCTCTCCTAGATGGTTGTAGAGATCCCTCCAAATTAGGCAATAAATGGAAGGGATCCTCCTCCCTGCTAATGCCAATAAGCAAACTGTCTATAGGACAGCTCTGGGTTTGAGAAGGGGGAAGCATCCAAGCTGAAGTCCTTTTCTACCTCATGATTTGCACTTTGGCCACAAGACTAAATACTGTTTTGGAACAAAAGCATTTAAACCATCCTATTAAAGCTATTCCTTTACTAAGAAAAGCATTCCAGTTGAAGCAGGGTATACAGAAGAACGAAGCATTTGCTGCTTACCAGTGAGAGCACTGCCTGAGAAAGGGAAGACTTAGATCTATATTCTTAATCCAAGCACTGTTTATTTTACATTGGGAAGTCACTATATTGAAATGCTACCAATTAATGCAATGCTTGCTTTCTTTCCTAGAAGGTCAGAAGGCAAATGCACATGCCTAAGAACAGGTTACTGTTACCAATTGCTACTGCTTGAAAAGGCATTTAGGTTAAACTAGTCGTAATTGATAACTTTCTGTGCACCAGATTCTAATAAAATCCCAGAAACGTCAAGGAAAACAGTTGAGCAGGGGAATGACAGTTTCAAGTTATGCAGTTAAAAAAATATAAAAGAAATTAAACTATTTTGTTTGATACGCTTTGAGCTGCTGGGCTTTGCGCTTGCAATACATGAAATCATGAAGCCCTTGAAAAAAAAAAAAACACAGGAGTACAACCAGCCCAGTGCAGTTTCATACTCACTGCAAGTTCTTCATTACATAAAAAACATAATAGTTTCTGTAGTTGCTGACGTTAGAGGGCAGTGTTGATACAGCCATGTTTTATATTAAGCTCGGCTTTTGGCTTCCCCCCGCCTCAGTAAAGTGTAATACACGTGTACATTTCAGAAAGTTGCCCACAATTTCCTGTTAAACAGCTCATTAAAATGAACAAAAGGATCAAAACTAAAAGCCCATGAGCTGCTTAAAGTTCCTAAAAGAATTTTTGCAACTTTCAGTGACTTCCATTTGTAATAATGACAGATACTGCCCTTCCTCAAAAGCCACTTACCACAGGGCCTCTCCTGCTTCTTCTTTCCAGCCATTCATGCTTCCAGGCTGGCATGCACACTGTCTTGAGTTTCTCCCTGATCATGCGCTCTTCTGGGCGGTCATCCATTTTCTGCAACCCCCTGAGGGTTTCTTTATTCTCCATGTCATGGCTACAGGAAAGAAAAAAGAATTTTCATAGGCATGAACACAGTTATTTTTAGTCAGAGCATAATGCCACAGAACTCAAATCTTGTGCCATTCCTCCCCACCATGCAATTAATAAAAACACTAACTCCAACAGGCTACAGTAAGCCCAGTAACTATTACTGTGATTAATTATGTATTTTGCAGTTTGGAGCATACCTGTTTAGAGGCACATTTCTTTAAAATATGCCTACTGCTTGGAATATCGGACACTCAATAAAAAGGCAAATCTTGGCAAATATTTAACCAATAAAAAGATCAACCCATATGTCATTTCCCAAATATTTCAGAAGTGATTATTCATGCATTTACTGGCAACTGTAAACTCATATTTTAGAGCAACTTACACAATGCATATAAATTAATGCTAGGCTTCAACTTCATAGGATGCATATGCTTGCAACTACGCAATCCCGTGCATGAAACTCCTCTTCAAAAAATAGGAGTCCTGTAAGCTACTACTCAGTATGTTTAAACCAGAAGTCATGAAAGGAAGGCTAGTGTCCCTGAGAGCTGCTTTCTGAATGACCAATGACTCAAATGCACTTCTAGTCAGCTCCAAGTGCAGTGAAATTCACAGTAAATCATATCTGCAGAATGAAAGTGCAATCCATCTGGCTCATGCCTTCTGATCCACAGCAAAGCAGTTGCCTGTAATTGCCAGCAACAACAATAACAAAATCCCCAAAATACTCTCTCAGATACTGAGCAACAAACATGAACAGTCTGGAAGATTTCCTGATTCTGTTGAGCTATCTGCTAAATTACCCAGAAAACCATTCTTAAAGAGCAGCAAACAATCACCTTCGGGAAGCTTGCTGTCTTTCAAAAAAAAATAAGCTTTATTAAGCCACCTCTCAGAATCCAATTCATTTTTTAAAAATAAAATCACAGAGCATAGTGAAAGATAAGGACATAATAATAATATAGAGGTCATGCCTTTCATAGCCTAATATGAATTACCTTCTCTGCAATAAAAAGATATTAAAATGCCTGTTCATCAGCAATGTATCAATAAGGCTCACTTATTACAGTTCTTTAATTAGAAGAATGCAAGGTTTTCACTGGTCAGAAAGCACATTTATTTTTTATTCCCCACTATTGTAGAGGCAAAGGAAATAAAGTATTCTGAGGCAGGAAATGCAATAAGCAGATGGACACCCTAACCAAAATACTTCCCCCCCTTCCTTTCAAGCAAGATCCAAATACATTGTTAAAAGATTGTTAACAAGTCTGATTATAGATACTCAGGAGGATGTCTAATGATTAAATACTTTAAAAGTCTGTAAATAGAAAATACTACCTTAAATAAAGTTATTTTTTTCCTAGAGGTTAAGCGGTAATGCTGGCTTACTTTCAAAACTTACATTAACGACACTCGAAAATATATCTTTAAGTGACATACAAAGAAATACAGAGAAAAAAAAAAAGTGAAAGACATTGCAGCAGCAGGAAGACACCAAATTGAGAACACACCCAAATCCTTAAGATAAAATGAAAGCATCATTTCTAAAGTCTTAAATATATATATATATATCTCACTTGAATATCAAAAGGATCTTTTCCTGCATAAGAACTGCAGGTACAAAAAAGGATAAATCCAAATTCCCAAATTATAGCTACAAAAAAACAAACCAAAACAAAAACAAAACAACAAAAAAAAAAAACACACACACACAACACACAGTCTCTTTTTTAAAATATTAAATTTCCTTGATACAAACCATTTCAGTTGTATGAATACTTTGTATGCAAGACAGAGCATGATCCCAGCAGCAAAAGAACGGCACGGTATTTCATCTGTTCAGATAGCCATGATTAACTCCCCAACTGATAAAAAGTCTTTTAGAGGCCCTTGGTCTTGAATTCACAAAGAGCATAGCACAACAGAAACGGCCTCACAATCTGCACTTGTTCTCTAAAAAGCAGAAGCAACCATCTTCCTCTCTTGCATGAGAGGGTCAAACCAAGCTGCTCTTGTCTGCACAAAAACCTCTGCGCTTTGCTTCCATGCAGGTGGGAAAGAACAATGGAGTTTGAAAGCTTTTGCCTGTAAACCAAGATTTATTTTTCAGTCATACTGCAAGTCACTGCACCAAACTGAGTTCATCCACATTGCATGGCCTGTACAGCCTGAACCCTCAGTGCTTCTCCAAAGCAGAAGCCCCAGCTCCTCCCGGCAGCAGGAGCTTCACGTACACAGCCCTCGCTGCAGTACTTGAGGGAGCACCCATATCGCTGCCTTCAGCATCGCCACGAGAAACCAGTACAAACACCCCACGAACTTCCCCAAGGACTTGGCCTTGTGAGGTAGGGAGCATTCGGGTCTTGATGCAGCAAAAGCTGCTCGTGAGTCAAGTTAAGCAGGTGCTTAAGCGACTGCCGGTCTCGGCAGTACTTGATCTGAACAACAAGAAGAGGATTCAGCAGCAGGTGAGAGAGACATACAAAAGCAACACCCTCCTTCCCCATCTCAAACACCAACTCAGACCTAGATGCTAGACTGACATAGGAAAACTGGAGCTAAATTGGTGTTCTGAAGTACTGAAGCCCTCTATTTAGTGCACTGTGAGCTGCACAGCAGGCCTAACAATGCTATAACTACTGTTTTTTAATGAGTCCAACTGTCTGCATTAATGTTTGTGTTATTCTCTGAACTATTTGCTTCGTGAACTATAAAACTATGTATAAGATTAATGTACTTCATGGAAACAGCCTAATGCAACATCTTTTGCAAGACAGACAGCAAAACGTAGCCCATACACCCCCCCGCACCCCTCCCCATCTTAATTCTGCACACTTACAAACAGCTATTGCACAGTTATGTTTTAACAACTGGGTCTCTATGCACCAATGATTCAATATTTCTAGAAGAAAGGAAACGGAGAGAATTTAACACCAGACAGGCTTCCATGAAGCTTCCTGAGGGAAAATAGGAGCAGGTGAGAGCCAGTTTTATCTTTACATCAAAGTAGTTTTAAGAGCCAGTGTATCCTATCTCTTCCAGCATTTTCCTGTAAATGGGAAACAAGCCCACAGAAAACATGAAAATACAGAAGAAACTACTCACAGCTCATTGGAAATGAGTACTCCTGCATAACAAGCCGAGTAACTGGCCTCTTTATACCAGGTATTCGCAGCAAACCTAATGAAGTCGTTTTTTAGGTAGCTTTCTTAAGCTGCCTGCTGTTACACACCTGAAACAAGGACCACAACAGATCCCAGGGCTTTCGAATCCCTCTGGTTTAATCTCCAGTACTAACTCAGATGCTTCAAGGTACACACACACACACACACACTCACACACACTCTCTCTCTCTCTCTCAATACAGCATATTCAAAATGTACAGATAGCAGTTCAATCACACGACCCCTCAAAATCTTTGCTTTCAGAAGAATAAGTGTGGAAAGAGTCAGAGATTTTTCTTCTTTAGAACCTACACTAAAAGTTTATTCCACTTAAGAGCAGAATTTTTAGAAATCATAGACTGCTTAAGGTTGGAAGGGACCTCTAGAGATCATCTAGTCCAACCCCCCTGCACACACAAGGGTCACCTAGAGCACGTGGCACAGGACTGCGTCCAAGCGGGTTTTGAAGAGCTCCAGAGAAGGAGACTCCACAACCTCTCTGGGCAGCCTGTTCCAGTACTCTGTCACCCTCGCTGTTAAGAAATTTTTCCTTAAGTTCCTGTGGAACTTTTGATGCTTCAGTTTCTGGCTGTTTCCTCTAGTTCTGTCAGTGGCCACCAAGGAAAAGAGGCCAGCCCCATCCTCCTCACTGCCTCCCTTGAGGGACACTGCTTAGATCCCCTCTCAGCCTTCTCTTCTCCAGGCTGAACAGGCCCAGCTCCCTCAGTCTCTCCTCATAGGGCAGATGTTCCAGGCCCCTGATCATCCTTGTAGCCCTGCGCTGGACTCTCTCCCGCAGCTCCACATCTCTCTTGTACTGTGGAGCCCAGAACTGGACACAGTACTCCAGATGCGGCCTCACCAGGGCTGAGTAGAGGGGCAGGATCACCTCCCTCGACCTGCTAGAGATGCTCTTCTTTAATGCACCCAGGATTCCATTGGCCTTCTTGGCCACGAGGGCACACTGCTGCCTCATGGTCAACTTGTCGTCCACCATGACACCCAGGTCTTTCTCCGCAGAGCTGCTCTCCACAAGCTCGGTCCCCAGCTCTTCAGTGTTTTGAACACCATGATACACTAAGATAAGAAAAAGCCCAAGTGAATTCATGCTTTCAAGCATGTTTTAAATCTGGTTTCTGGAACTTCCCCAATTCATTTTTTCTTCCACCATAGTCTGCAGTGAAGCTAAACCAACTTTGACAGAATCTCATATTTTCAGAAGCATATTATAATTTAGCAGAATATAAACAAATCTTTAAAAACATAGCCCTAAAAATAAAATCTACTGCTTTACCAAGAGTTGATGAAAATGCCACTCTATCTTCAGAAACATCTCAAATTTGTTATTTTCAGAAAATTAAACAAGCTTTGGTGTTCTTAGAAGACTCATACATACTTCCAACTTCAAATTACTAGTGCAAATGCATTTAATATTGTACACTCAGCACTAAACACAGCCAGGATAAATTACATCACTTAAGGGAAACTGACTGATAAGCAGAGCCTTCAGTAAATTTGTTCCCACTGCCATCTTGATAAAAATGGATTTACATTTCTAAAGGTGAGGATTATCAGCAACTGCTGTTCTGGATGGCTCCTCTGCCTTGGCCTTCACATTTTACAACTGTTTCAAAAGCTTCCCAACTCATACAAAATTATCCATAAAAGCAATTTCATTTTCCAAAACGCCAAGCCTCCAAGAACTGTTAAGCACTTTCCAAATTTAGCATTTAAATTACTAACTCTAGAGCTCCATTGTATTTAAATAGAATTCCTTTCTACATGTGCAAATATAAGAGAGGCCTGACTCCTCCAGTCCTTTCTGATGCTTGG